GGATCTTGGTTGGGCCAAAGGCGGGCATTAGCACTCTGTGAGCGATGCCCCAGTTGGGCTCCTCGTTGCGAGCTGTGAACAAGCCGTCATGGACACCATGCCTGACCTGGCTGAGCACGGCACCAATGGTCTTGCCGAAGAACTTCTCATTGCAGACATCGTTAACGAGCTCCCGGGTGGTCACGAAGACCATGCTTCTGCCGGGGAAATGGAGCTTGAATATGGGGCCTAGGGATGGTTAGCTGATCGACTGAGGAATGGGCAAGTGGAAATACGCACCATATCGCTCTGCCATATCCAAGAAGGACTCTAGAGGGAGCTCTGGGTTGATGTCATTGATGTTTCCCAGGAAAGGGAGACCCCGTGGTGACGGGATGGCCACCGTCCCTTCCTCGTTGGCTTCTGACATGGTAGCAGATGTTGTGGTGAATAGGGGCCGTAAGAGTTGTCTTCGGCCGCGGTGTAATGGCTGGGCTAGAACAATGTTGGAGGAGAGGTTGAGATTTGGAGATAGGGAAGAATGACTGGAGCAACGAGGGTATTCGTTTGGAATCTGAGACGGGAGCGGGTTCTATATACGTGGAGAGACAAATACAAACATTAGGGGTAGCTGTTGTTACACGTGAACGGCGGCGCCGAGAAGGTAATGCCAGGCATGGTAGCTATGCTCTCATGCCGCTATGTTAGTTAGTGTCTCTGCGTACGACGCCAAGGGTCAACATATATCTGATGCATGAGGGTGAGGAATGCGAATCTGTCTTGTGCTTTTCTTGGCCACTGACGCAACCGGTTGTTACAGAAGCATTGCATTCATAGCTTTTCTAGTGGACGGATCCGTATAAATTTGGGACCCAATGCCAGATGCCTCGGCACTAAAATCTCCAGCCCGGGGAGCTAACTTTTTAGGTAATAGCTGCCGAGCGATGCGAGCCTGTAACGATCCACAGCCCAACGGCGCGGACGAGGTCCGACAGGACACGGGGATAGATCCTTTCCCGCAGCTCCCGTTCATGCAGTGAAAGGATTGTCTCTCGCTGGTTGTAAATTCCGATCTCCGTCGCGGCCAGCATGTTAAAGGAGTGCAGCCTACCACCAGGACGGGGACGCCGTTATTACGCATATGGGACGAACTGCAAATCTCCGCAAGGGCGACAAAGACCCGAAGTTTCATTGTGGTATCGCATGGAGGCGAGCTGAGGACTGACTAAGGTAGGCAACCTGAGTGGCCGAAGACATCATCGTGCAGCTCGAGCACTTGAAAGACAACAGTTACACGACATGGAAGAGCGACAATATGACCACATCATGGCCGATACAGCGACTTCAATTCTTCAAGGTGGAACTGGATATGCCTCAGGCTCAGGTTGATATTGCCTGTTATGGTAGCATGCTGACATCTCGAACTGGGAACTATAGCCTCGCCAATCATCTCCTGCTTAGGTACGAAGTGCTTGCTTCTCAGTAGGTCGAGCAAGTTGCAACTTCCTGCACAAGGCTAACTTCCAAGCTGGTCTGGTATTCACTGACTGTAGTCGCAAAGGGGATGGCTGCAGCAGATCTCCCGTTACGGCCAAGCGCTGTTATATGTCTTGGACTTGAGAGCTCACAAGACATTGGGCGACGGAGCTTAGAGATGCTCTTCGTTTCAACATCGTGGACCGTTCTCCAAAGATCAATGACCTCGGTCCCTGTCAATCGGGATCGAGTCTTTTGTTCCTGGGCTTCTTCCAGAGCATATATCTAGGAACAACAGTCCTCTTCCAATGCTCCCATTCTTCCTGGATCACTCTTCACACAATCACAACACTACTGCTTCCCAAGAACTCCATTGTCAGGACCACCACTCACCGAGCGCATACGCATTAACCGTTCTGGGAGATTCGGCTTCACCACAACACTTACATCTCCAATACAATGGACCCCAACCGTCCCTTCTGCGGGATCCCCAGCGACCCGACACATTTTCACGCCGAAATGGGCCGAGTACCTGATATCCACGGTCCGCTGTCTCCCCCTTTCAGCCAGTACATTCCTCAATGGGAGAAGTGCGGCAAGCACAATTGCGGCAACCACCACTACCAAGCGGCATATTTGGCCCCCCCCCTGCCAGATTTTGCTCAACCTTTCACTGAGCACGTCCGGAACTGTACCACCTGCAACTTACCAAAGAACGTAGTGGAGCTGCACTTCCTGGACTGCGGACACACCTTCTGCCGAGACTGCCTGAACCAGATGGCGACCCGGACACACGAGTCGATCAAGGCCAAGAAAGCGAAGCTTGACGAACTGATAGGGAACGCCTTCGCTCTCGAAAAGGCAGCCGAACACGCCGCGTCGGCCGTCGCAGCCGGGGCGCTCGAGGACATGGCCGATGCCATGACGGCGGAGGTCTTCGACATGGCCAACCTCTCGTGCTGCCGGGAGACGATACCGCTGGGGAGCTTCCTCTACTGCATGGACCCGGCCGTCGCGTTGCAGTGCTGGCTGGACATCGACCACCTGAACACGCCGAGGGAGTGTCACAACATCTGCGGCTGGCCGGACTGCGGTGCGTTCGTGTCCGACAAGTGCGGCTTTTACCCCCGGGGGAAAGGACCGGTGGTCCTGCACTGCCCGTCTTGTAGGGGCAACGGACAGCTGATCAAAAGGGCTGATCCGGTTGCCGGGCCGGGAAGAGGACATGTGTGGATACCGACTAGCCAGCCTTTGAAGAGGAACTATACTTCGGGGTTGCTGTAGCGGAAGGATTGCTGATGATAGAGACTTGGTACAAGGTCAGATAGAGTGGAGTGAGGGTCTGGTACTTCTTGCTCCTCCATACCTTGTATGATCTAAATGTAAGAATAGTTTCCATCACCCAGACTGTGACCCCATCGCCATGTTCCCCAGTGTCCCGAAATATCCGACAGTCAACGTCACTCGATCCGTCAAAGATGACAGATCCACAGCCGCCGGGGGTGCGCTGTCGTTTGCAAGGAACTGTGCCACCCGGTTGGCTACCCAGACGGGATTCTCATCCGCTATTGTTGTGGTCAGTCATCGTCTATCGTCATAACATGCTCACACCCGTTTTTCAAGGACTTACCAATCCAATGCCCAGCCTTAGGCACAATGTCAACCTCCAGATCACTAGACGTATTCTCAAACGCCATCCTCACAATCGGCCCCAAACTCGCCTCCCCACCAAGCGCCAGCATCGGCATACCCAGCTTCTCCCTCCCGATCGTGCCCCTGAAGAAGCTCGCATCCGCCGCCACAGCCTTGTTATCAAACGGGCCCAGCATAGCCCTCAAGAACCCGGGCTTCGAAATCGAACTCGCATACCGATCCACCGTGTCCTGCGTAAAACTCTCTGGGCCGGAATAGCTCCCGTGGAAGAAATACCACTCCAACATCTGCCTCTCCCTCCCGGAGATAAAAAACTCCGCCGCGTCCGGCACAGAAAAGAACGCCAGCTGCCAGTTGGCGTACAGGTCCCAGTACGGCGCCGGGGCGGCGGTCTGCTCGTACCTGAACCCGGGCAGGGCGTACTCGCTCACGCCCAGCCGCTTGACGAGGGAAGGGTACTTCGCCGCCAGCGCGGCGGCCATCCCGACCCCCTTGTCGTGGGAGAAGACGTAAGTCTCGGTGACGTTGAGGAAGTCCAGCACGCCCTTCAGGTCCTCGGCCGAGGCCGCGGCGCTGTAGTTCCCGTCGGGGGGGAGGGACGAGTCGCCCGCCCCGCGGTTGTCTGGCGCGATGACCGTGTAACTCTCTGCCAGGATGGGGCCGATGGTTTGCCAGGTCAGGCTGTGCTGCGGGTTGCCGTGGACGAGCAGGAGGGGGGGACCCGAGCCGGCGTAGCGGAGGTGGATTGAGACGTCTTGGAGGGCAACGCGTTGGTGCGGCCAGGAGTCGAAAGGGAGGAAGGCTTGGGCAGAGGTTGTTAGGGTAAGGAGAGAGAGAAAGATGGGTAGGGGGCTCATAGTCCCGTTGCTAAGCTCCATGTTGATGGTTGGAAGACGGGGTTGACCTTCTGGTTAGGAGGCTAGTATGTGCTGTGTCAAAGATGGACTGAAGCTGCGCTATACAATGGAAATATAGGCTCCTTCCTGTGTATCCCGATCCATTGTGTCTGGCGTAATGCTTAGTGTGCCACGATGCAGACCTGTTATTTGGTTGCCCCGACGGAGCCGGATCTCCAGGATATGTGCGGCTCGCTCTGTAAGCCGAAGTCTTCGGCTGACCGAAGCGGCCGAATGGCGAAGCGTCCAAATGTCTGGTGTTGAGGCTTATAGCAACTAAGCAAATCCTTCAAGTCAACTTTGAACTTTCAAAGTCTGATGATAAAGCCACCATATGTCGCCTCCATCACTACTCGTCTGACCCAACCGTTCCGGTAGTGCTGAGCTTGGCGGAGGTTGTAAGGTTTTGCTTGTCAGCTTATCAAGGTATACATGCCGTCGCCAGTGTGGTGTCTGTCATGTAAGCCAGTATTGGTGTCCAGGCCGATCGCATAGAAAGGGAGAGCATCCCGAAGCGGTCTTCGACGGAGGGCTGGGCACATTTTGCGACTCGAGCGAGCAAAATAGAGGCATCAACTTCAACTGTTGCAGGTTTACGCATATTAGCGCGGTACCTGAACCCACGATTCGACGATTGGTCGACGAGAGGACGATCAACATATCACCGCGGTAACATGTGTAATCCTGCAACAGGTGTTGATTTCCCTGGCAGGCTGAAGATGACGTTGAGCTGATGATGTTGCCGTTGGAGAGATCCCGACATCCGAAACGATGCTGGTGTAAGACTGGCAGGTGGCGCCAGCTGGGAGCTCCATCCTGAAAGAGAAAATCCGAGGGAGCGGTTCTGGACCTAATTCTTGCATCACTAAAAATACACACGCTTCCCTTCGACTGTTTCACCAGCAAAACAAAGTCAAAAACCCCTCTGGAGACAGCTCCTTGTCAGGAGAAGGCCTGGCAAGCAAAAAACCAAGGAAAACCAGCCAAAAAGAAAAGCGATGGAGATGGGACTCGAACCCACAACCTCAGTCTTGAATTTGAGATGCTCACAACAAGCCGGAGCTAGTAGGAGGACCGCACGCTACCATTGCGCCACTCCACCGTTTTGATGAGAGTTCTGTTCTTTTGTTGCCTCTCATACACCTGAATATTTTAGCAGGGTGGGGTGGGCTGATGAGTCACGTGCAATGGCATGAGGACCTTCCACGATTGTCAACTTCCTCGAAGTCGATACCTGACTGAAGGCAAACATCAGAAATACCCGACCCTTACTGTTCCTCGGAGTAAGGTCCGTCCGTTCTCCTTCCTTCTCCTCCGCTCGTCGCCGTCAACCGAGCGCAGACGCTGTGCCGATGTCCTTTTTGCAGGGGCCACAACCATCCAACTTTGTCGATAAATCAACGCGTGACGCTCTCGTTATATCGCGTGTCCGTGCCAACGAGGTCAGGAACAGAATCGTCGCGCAACCTCTTCGAACGTCGATGCCGCAGGTCAACTCGAGCAAACTAGACGTTCAAGCACATCCGTCATGACGAAGATAGCTACAGCCAAGTCTGTCAGGACGTCAGAAACGAGACCAAGGCACCAACGCAAGGTCATCTGGCAGTGAGATACCATCACCGCGCCGCTTTCCACCTTCGATGCTGGCCATGGCCAGCAGCTTTGCGATCGTATGTTAATCATCAGGCGCCACTTCAGCTGATGAAGATCTGTTGCGCCAGAGCCGTTACAGTCCGTCCACAGGTTTTCAAGATAGACGGATCGTTCGGCTCCTCCGTGGACGATGCGACACCACCACCTGGTGGCTGGGGGCCATCGCCAACCAACGCGTCTCAAGGCTCGCTATTTGTTGGAACCAGGTTGCGGAGGAACCTTTACCCTGGAAAGAGGAGGCAGCTTTGTGCTCGGATCCACGTCATCCAGTCCATACTCTTTGTCTGGACCTGAACCAACTATCAAGTCATGCTCACTGAGTTCCATTGTCCTGGAAGGCTCTCGCACGCAAGGTTACTCTGCCGGAATCACCAGGCGATCATGTATCGATGAAGGACGGCACAGCTTGTTTGGTGGTTTATGCAGCACGGCGCTTCTCTCTCCATCATGGTTCTCCGGCTTGAGTAACAACACGAGGCACTACATCGCCAGGGTTTAGTCTCATTGATGCCCTTTCCTGGAGTTGCTCTTCTGCATGTGCAATACCGAGCGGACGATCCCACCGCTCCTCGGTCGAGGTATCGCATGGCCCCTTTTACGATTCGATAGTTGAAGCCACGTCGATCACGACCACATCGGATAGCAGAGACTACAACGCCCTAGTCTATAACCCAGTATACGTAGGGATCCCTTGGGCCGGCCCTGTCGCATGCGAGGCTGCGTGCGGCGAAACCAAATTTTCTCATACCCTAGCCTCGAAACTACTATCTACCTCTCAACCATCGGTCTTGCTATCACTGGCTCTCGGTATTGACAAACCTCGAACCGCAACTTCCTTACGATTTTCAACATGTTGCAGAGCAAGGTCGCGCCTTCCCTCCACGCGAGGCTCTCAGACTTCGAGCCAACCTCATTGCAGCAACAAAGCGCCTGGTCCTTCCGCCGCGAAAGAAGGCGCGGCACCTTCCTCACGAAACCTGGAGTCGCCCACCAAACCTTCAAATTCGTGCGTCAACCTTTTTTCCCTCAACTCTAGACCAGCTTTTTGCAGCCAACTCCTCTCAACTTTGACGCCGACGTCTTCTCAGCTCATCGACTTTTCAGCCATCCGTCTCAGCTTCTCAAGGATCCAGTGCCCGTTACTTTCTCCTCGAGGTCACACGCAGTCAATTTCCCCTTCTTCATACTGCCGTCAAGCTGAGCAGACAGAAACCATTCGACACGCTTGGTGCCCAAGAATTCCTCGTCGGCGAAGACATTGGTTTGCCACTCATCCAGGCCTCAGTCGAGAACATACCCATTTACAAAATGTCGGCACCACTTCCCCCACGCCCAGATTTGTCCAAAGGCCTGCCGAAACAAAGTGTTGATGTGACCTTGACACCCATGACACCCAGGTGGCTGAGCATGGACCCAGACGACGCTACCCCCGAGGACATCGTCATCGTGTACGATCAGAACATCCTGATGCTCACGCTCCAGAAGCTCGCACAAAACAGAGTGAGGCCTTTTTTTCTTTTAGGGGTATCAAGCTCATAGTAAAACCACAATATGGACCCAGCCAAAGGCCTAGGGGGGCTCACAATTACAGACCAAGTGCTTCAATATCATAATCACGCATATCCGAACTCTTCTACAGAGACCTCGTTACGCCGAGGTCTTACGTATCTTACCGAGGCAGGCTCGAACCTTATACCGCGTATACAGTATGCAAGTCCATCCGATATCAAGAGTCACCGGCGAGCCACGTACGCAGGTGGGATGGCCACAAGGAAGGTATTTAACAGCGAGCTGTTGCCTACTAACCTCTCGGTTCTCCCAACTCTATACAACCAATCAAGCACAATACCATGTCTCCCAACAACAAGCAATAAGTTCCCAAGCCCACTCTTAAGCCTTTAGGCACCTCTAACCTCTGGCTATAACTCCCGACCCTCCTCCACTTACCCTCCTCAACTAGAAGCCGAAGAGTTAATTAAGCGACTTATCTCTACGCTTAAGCTTATTAAAGCCTTTATAACTACCTAGAATCAAAAAGTTAAGCTCGGAGAAAGAGATCCGATAACTCGAAGCTCGAGAAAGAAATTTCTTATTCGAGGGTTTAGAGTTGTCGGATCTCTATCTCGAGCTTAACTTTCTAATCTTGAATAGTCTTAAAGGCTTTAACGAGCTTAAGTACGGAGACAACTCGCTTAATTAACTCTTCGGCTTCTAATTGAGGAGGGTAAGTAGAGGAAGGTCGGGAGTTATATCCGTAGGTGAATAACTCCCACTCTTCGTCCGCGCTTGGGATACGGGGAGTGAGGCCCTTCTGGCCACGAAATCAGTTCCCCGAGCGCGCCCGAGCGGAGAAGGAGCTACGGACAAGTAAGCACCGGTCGACCCGGTTGCTGAGGGCACGATGCGTTGGATGACGATGAACCCGGCCTTCGCAACGCGTCAAGGCAAAGTTACATGGACAACCTTGGCGTACTTCAGGCCTATGCCGACGGCCTCTTGGCAACCGAGAAAGCCTACCGGTGCCGGAACCGTGCGAAACTACAACAGGAACACCTCCGCCGGGCCGGCAGAGGCTCAGAAGAAACGGACCAACTCTCACAAGCGCAAATGGGGTGAGGTGGGCTGAGGTTGAGCCTGACTTGGAGGGGGATACCCTGATGGAATCCGTGTGGTTTCGACTGTCGCCGGGAGGAGAGTTCTGGCTGAAGATTTTTGTCTGCTACGATTCGGAAATGGTACGGAAGCCGAGAAGAACGTCCGGGTGACGCCCGCGGCCAAGGATGTTGCCGATAGACTTTTCCGTCGCGCGCGCGGGATCTTCTCTGAGGCAGATGAGCCCGGACAGTTAGAGGCTGAGCGCAACCCCTTTCCCGCCTTGATCGAAGAGCTCGATGGGGATGAGAGGGTTCGGCTCTATTGTTTGCTGGGTTTGCTGGGTAAAGCGGCGGATAGTGAGGCATGGGAGGATGAGACATCGGAGGATCAGACATCGGGGGATGAGACATCGGAGGGTGCTGCTGCGGGAATCAAGGCTGGTTCCGCCGGGACTGCCGCCAAGGGAACGAAGGTTGGCTCGGCCGGTTTCCACGAAGAACAGGAAGGTTGGCTCGGATTCAAATAGCTCGGAAGAGACCGGAGAAGACTCTGACGACCTCCTCACATCTCGCCCGGCCAGGACTGCCGTCAAGGGAAAGGAGGCTGGCTCGGATTCGGATAGCTCGGAGCAGACCGGAGAAGACCCTGACGAAGAGCTCGGGTATCAGTCAGAGTTCGACGACGGGTTTTCCTCCCTCGACGAGGATCGGCATGTAAACTGGGAGGAGTATACGATGGATATTGGAAGGAAGGATTATTCGGGGCATCGACGGATAGACGGATTGACGGGTAGCTCGGTCGAGTTGGGACAGATTAGGATTTACAGTGGTGGTGCCACGGAGCGTCCGGGGGGGTTCATCTGGGTGCATTCAAGATATGGATGGACTATTGCTATGGGATTCCACACACGGATTATAACTATACCATTCAGGGGATTGATGGGTCTATTAGGAGATCAGCTGAACATCGGAATAAGGAAGTTTTGTCGATGCCTGCTTTGCCTCTTGTGTTGCAAGAAGACGTTTATCTTCGGGTTCGCCTGAGTGGAAACTGTTACGGTGCTTCGAGAATCGATAACACTACCCGGAGGTTTGCCCGCGGTAGACGACCTGGTTTGTTTTTCGGATGCGTTGGGCATGGATGCCGGGGAGGGAGGAGGCGGTGGCACGGCGAAGGGATGAAGTCGCTTGAGCATGGCCGCAGGTGCGGGTGCTGAAAGACAGAAGGAAACTTGTTCATGCCACCGGTTGCGGCATGGTTATGCAGCTTACAACCGCTCTGACGGCGTTTGAAGCCGAATATGGTCTGAAGCCCACCGCAACACTCAGGCTGTCCCACTGTTGCAGCCATAAATCTTAGCACCTTCCTCAGATAGTTCCTTCCTCGATCAACGGGGTGAGGCCCGAACCCCGTTCTCTGTATTTTCGGAAAATCTGCGAAGGATGATGAGGCCTACTCGCGTGATATTCGCGGAGATGAGCCGTGATCGACGCAAAACGGGACATTGAAGCTGCCGTAGAAGTTATTTCAATTTGCTTCCCTTACGGCTCCTGAAACTTTCCGCATGGTTGATGCCTCCACGAGATGCTGGACCTGGCTCTAACCACCCCGTATACTTTTGGGAGGGTGTCTAGAGCGCCGGGCCCGGGCCAAGTAAGGTATCTTCACCCTGGTTTTATACCGTATAAACGGTAGGACTAACCCGTATTTGCCCTTGATTAAGAGTGAACCGATTTGTTGGTAACTAGACTATCGTACCGCGACCTCGTCCAGATATTCTCTATACTCTCGATATTCCCCACGTCCGCGAGAAGCGGGTTCTCCCCTTCTCCATGGCCTCAATCGCCCGTGACG